ATGTGGGACGTGTAGCTATGTTTATTGAGCATGTACTATTTACCCTCATGTTTTGTTGTTGTTTGGAAAGCACTTAGCACAGTGTTGGCAGCTAATAAGAGCTCAATAAATTGGGGGCATGGAATTGTTGTTTTATTATTTAGATGTTGCTCCAGACCCAGTGGGGGTCTGGGCTAAAGGCTTGTGACCATCTCAACACAGACACACTGCCATCTGCTGCTGCTGCTATGGAGCAACCAGCAGTACCTGGGAGAAAAGTGCTCCAAGAAAAACAAGTCGATGACCAGGGTGGCAGCCACATCTGCATCAGATCCCTTCCACACCTCCGTGGGAGCTGCTGTCATCCCCCACCACTCCAGTGGACCTGCCCCAGAATGGGGGCTTTGCTCCTAGAGGTCAGTCATTGCTGTAGCCAGGCAGGGCTTGGGGACCTCCCCATTTCTCTATGTGGACTAGCAGAGTAAAAGCATTAGGTCTCAGTTGCTTGGGGGTGCCCCCCCCCCCGCGGGCGGAGGGGAAGGGGAGCAGGGAATCCTGAGCAAGCAAGGCAGAGCTCAGACTGCAGCTGCAGAAGAGGGAGAGGCTCAGGGCAGCTGACTGTGACAGGAAGGGGAAAGCTTGGCCTCAGAGGATCGGGAAACACAGCCCCAGTTGCTGAGCACGGGCAGATCTCTCCTCCCACTAAAAGACCACCAAGCAGCCTGCAGCCTCCCCTGCCTAGATCCTCCAGTTCCTGCCAAAGAAGGGGCCCTCCTAATGTCCAAAGGGGCACCTGTACCTTCTCCCTATGCAAAGGGGCTCTGTTCCCTAGGGCAGGGACACGGGGTCTATGTGAACATGGGAACTCAGGGAGGCTATTGGAAGCCCATCATTCCCAGCTGCAGGAGATGCAAGTGACCTTATATTCCTTGCTGGGGCCTCCATCCTCCTCTCCTCCAGGCATAAACCACCTTAAAAAAAACACCCAGGTCATCCTGACATCAAGAGCTTGTTTAGAGCAAAGCAAAGTAGCAGCAAGAAGAAATTAAAGTCCAGATAGAGAAAGAGGAAAGCTCGGGTTGTGATGGGAGCATCTGAACTGAAAAGTAGAGGTAGAAATTCCTGGAGTTAATACTTCCTAAGGCCCCTCGGGCCACTCTCGGGTCTTGTCTGAAGCTATTTACTTCCAGGGGGGAAACCCTATTGATCTTCATTCAGCGGCTGTCTGCTCCTACACGGTGCGATGTTTCAGCGCACCACCAGTCACTGAGAATTTCCTATTGTCTTACACACAGTGGCTCCCAAACTCGAGAGCCGAGTGTTCTTTTGGGGCCAGCAGGGAACTGATGTTAGTTTGGGAATTCTAGGAGAGGGTGCCTAGGTCCCCCTGGGAAAGGTTGCTGCTGCCTGCTGGGCCCCTGCACATTCGGAGACTCAGGACCTTGCAGCTGGTTCCCCTCTATCAGTAGATGCTCTGAGAGGCCCGAACTGAGCCAGCCCTTCCCTCCCACCCCATATACACCTGCTTTATATCTCTGCAGTCATTTGGCTTTGAATCTCCTCATTGCCTAGCCAGAGATCGCTACCATCCACCCAAGTACCTCACTGCACAGAATGCTGGCCAGGCTTCCCCAGCTGCTATTCTTCTCCGTGGCTCCTTTCTCAAATTCCAAGCTGGCTTTGGATCCTACAGGCAGTAGTAGTCTCAGGGAACCATGAAACCTTCAATCGTACTAACTGTTCCTACCAAAGACCTACCTTGAAAGCCAACCACATGTTCACAGATGGGGAAATTGAGTGGAAAGGAGAGTGTGGTTTGATCAAAGTGGTCCAGTAAACTGGCAACAGAAAACCCAAGCCAGACTACGGAAACTGGAAATCTAGGACCCTACCGAAGGTCACTGACACCCACTTGGTTGAGAAGACCCTTCATCAAACTGCTTTCCTTGCAAGTGAGGACCAGAATCCATCCAAACAGTAATAACAATGATAATAATAATAAAATGCCGAACAATATGCCTTGCAAACCTTCAATGAGCAACACTTGATAATCGCACACAGAATACATCATCCACATATTCATATAAAATAATCAATGATCATTTTTCCCCCTGCAGACTACAATCCAATTACTCTCTCTCCCTCACTCTCTCCCTCTCTCTCCTTTGTTACTCGAAAACCATCCAAGCAATCAATGCCTTGACCTCTCCCTCTGATAGACACAATTACAAAAAGACAGAGCAATGCAATTCATCTATTCAAGACAGATTGTTTGAACACTCTGTCACACTGCTGAGCTATCCATCTCCTTGTCTAAGAGGAAATTTTAGCCCCCCAAAAAAGGCACAAAGAGCGAGGGCGGGTACAATGCTCCCCAGCCCAGAGAGCCTGTCTTGCACCTGCAGGTAAACCCTTGCTAGGTCGGTGCTCAGCGACGCCTGGCTGTTGGAAAAGGATTCATCGGCTCCAAGCTCAGCCAGCTCTCTAGATCCAGCACCAGCCTCAGGAGCCAGAGAAACTCAGCATACTTCGAAGCCCAATTTCCGGAGCTTCAATTCTTGCAGCCCTAGCCAACAGCCCTCATATCGCAGGAAAGGGAGGGGTGGGAAGAAAGGTGGCATCAGGTGCAGCCAAGGATGCATGTTTGGCTTTTAGCATGAGATTCTTTCTCTCTCCTTTGCCCTCCCCCCCACACCCCTGTCCTCTGCACCACCTGCACCACCACCACCACCACCACCACCACGGTAGCTCCCTAGCTTCAGCTTAGCTTTGAGTATTGGCTTAGAGGGCAGAAACTCTGTTCCCCAGGCTGCTCCTGAGAGGCCTGGAGGACTCAGAGCATCCCATCCTCCATTCAAGCTGGCACAGCTTCCTTGGTCACGTTTGGCACCGGCACAGAACCTCAGTTCTCAGGCTGGGAATCAAATGGGGCAGGGCTCTTGGATATAAACGGCCTGAGCCGACACGCTAATTAATCCTAGGGCTTAATATGAAGAAGATTAGAAGAGAGGATGGCTCTGCCGTCCTTAATTGCATTATTACATGCTGCACCCAAGAAAGGGTGGGCAGGTTTGGGATGTGCTCCTCCTCCAGGCAGTGAGGAACTCCCCCCCATCTAATTTCAATTTCACAGTGACAAGGGGCAGGTAAGGACATCATCCTGGCCCTTTGCAGCTCATCCCTCTGGGCTTCCCTCACTTGGGGGAGGGGGTCTCTCTGGGCCTTCAAAGGCCTCCATCCCAGAAGCTGGGTTGGGAGTACAACATATCCTGCCTTGAATCAGGAAGAAGGACCCGCAGAGTGTAGGATGGACACAAAACCCTTAGACTCTCCTTTTTTCTCCCAAGGACGCCCACCCTACCACGCAGATTCCCCTAGAAAACAGAGGGAAGGAGAGACGGTGTAAAGGAATCTCTGGTCCATGAATGAGGGTCTGCCTGACCCTGGAATGTCATCAAGCAAGGTACTGGGGCAGGCCACAGCACAGCTAGAAGGCAATGTTGGCTTCTAGAAGCAGCCTGAACTGCAAAGAGTTAACTCTGACCGTGAGGGCTGTCCCCAGAGTCCCTTTTCTGTGCTGGGCCTTCTTTGCCTCCTTATGTCCACTTGTCAGAGTCCTGGGCATGGACTGAAAGACCTGAACGTGAGCACAACTGAGGACTGTGCTCTGCCCCCACTCAGACGTCCAGTTAAACAGGGTATGGCTTCTGGAAGAGGGCCAGGGAAGAGACAGACTCTCTGGGGTTTTCAAACTGCATCCCAGGAAAACCTCAAGTAAGCCTGACATAGGTTCCCTGCACCCCTTCCAGCCACTGGCAGCTGGAAGAGAGCCACAGAAGGAAGGTGGCCTTGGCTGGGCAGGGCTCAGGCTTGCCTCGATCCAGAAGCTGGCAGTGGTGTCTGGAGAACCCAGGCCATCCAGGTCTCCCGCCCGATGCGGGCGCAAGGCCCACAGTGACAGAGGCCCGTTGCGTGGTTCTGCGTTGCTCGGCTCTACGTGGCCCAGCCCTGCCTGCAGATCGGCTACCCTGGGACACGCACGGGTTAGTGCCCAGCCGAGAACGGTGCCCACAGGGCAGCTTTGGGTGGCCACAACAAAGTTAAAGCTCGGAGTAAGAAGCTCGGGCGAGAAGAAATGCGGAGAAGCCCGAGCCCCAGAAAACCGCGCACGCAGACTCGCCAACCAGCTGCGGAGGGATTTCTGCTAACTTTAAAAACAGCTCGCATCCGATCCGTCGGCTGCCTTTCGGTGGCACGGGGCGGCCTCGATCGCTCCCTTCCTCCTACCTCCCTTACCACCCCCCACCACCCACGCGGCTGCGAGAGCCCTGGGCCTCGGAGGACCGGTGGTAGCGACCCACGGCGCGCAAGGGGTGGGGTGGGTGCTTCTCCCCTGGCCCACGCCACGGGGCAAAATAGGGGCCGCTGAGGCCAAGGGCAGCCACCGAGCCGTGAGACGCGCGCTGCCCTCGGTCTTGCGAATCCGTACCCCCTCCTGGCCGCCTCGCCCCAGCTGCGGCTGCTTGAGCCGTGCCCGAGGCGGGGGGGCCAGGGCCCCCAAGCAGGGAGCGAGTCGAGGAGAGAAGTTGGCGCCTTTCCCCAAGGCTCCCACTCGGAGGAGAAGCGGCTCCCCCAGAACTCGGTCTGCAACCAAGTCACGCTGGCAGATCGCCGCGAAATTCACCCCAGCGCTCGGATTTGGGACTGGAGCCCTTTGCCACACTCCGTCAGGGCTGCCCAACCCAGGAGCGCGCCCAGGGCCCCCGGCCCACCGCGGCCCGGCTGCATGCTCCCCAGTAAGTAAGGCCCGTGACCCTGGCTGTGGAACTTTGTCTCCACCACGACGGGCTCCCAGTGGTCTCACCCAGCCCCAGCAGCCCGTAGAGAGAGGTTGAGGAAAATCGCTCGGGGTCGCACACAGAGAGAGCCCTCACCACCCACCCACCCACCCATATTCCCGCCCCAGCCCTGGCGCACGAAGACCCCCCCCACCTCCGCTCCCGACTCCAAGGAGCCCTTACCGATCCGGATGACGTGGGGCATCCCGCGCGAGTCTGGGATCCAGAAGGCGCACACGAGGAGCCCGGCCCAGTATTCCCAAACCAGACTCCGGAGGCGCCGCCAGGGAGCGGTCATCGTTGGGCGCCGCCGAGCGTGCCCGGGGCGCGGCCGTGGCGGGCTCCCTGGGGCGGCAGCTCTAGGCGCGGGCGCGCAGCAGCCCCCGAGGCGCCGCCTGGCCCAGCCGCCCGGCTCCCGAGCGCCGCTGCGAGTGAGGGGCGCCCCGCGGCGCTGCGCACATCTTACTGGGGGGCCGCCCCGCCGGCGCCCGCCCCGCGTGGCTGACGCCCACGGGCCGCCCAAGAGCGAAGCTCTCTTGGGGGCTCCACCCGGGCTCCGCTCAGACTCGGCTTGGGCTCCGGCTCGCGTCGGCTCGGCTCCCGCGCGAGCTCCCACCTTGCCCGGGCTGCCGGCTGCCGGGCGCTGGCGGGCGGGCTGCACGCGTCTCCGGCCGCTCCTCCTCCCAGCCGCCGCCGATGCTATCGCCCGGGCTCGCACAAAGCCCCGGAGTGGAGTTGCACGCGCGCACACACTCCCGCCCAGCCCCCTCCCCGCGCCCTGCCCCCCGCCTCCCGCGCCGCCCGCCGCCCGCGCTCCCTCCGCGCACTCCCCCGCGCGCACACTTCGCACTCACACTCGCGGGGGCGCACACTCGAGCGCTCACACCTGCGCAGGGGGGCGGGGAAGGGGGCCTTGGACCCCAGGTGGGGCGGGAAGCGTCCGAAGGACCCGGACATTCTTCGCTTTCCAGACGTCCCCACCCGCCCTGCCGCCCCCAGTCCCCTCCAACTGCGAGGGCACGGAGCCCGGGAGCCAGGCGTGGAGCGCGAGAGGAGCTGGCACCGCGAGCCGGGAGACGCGGCAGCCCAGCGGCCCGACCAGCTGGAGGAGACGCGCCTGCCTGCCGGGAGCAGCGACGCCGGAGCCCGCCGCCGTCTGCGGAGTCTCGCCGTTCCGCTCCCACGCGGCGGCCCGCGCGGGCTGGACGGCGACAGCCGGACCGGGACCCGGGGGCGGGTTTCCCTCCCCAGCTCCAGCCCTCGTGGAAGCAGGGTCGGGCCTGGGGGTTACGGAGTAGGGGGGGGGGGGAGTGGAATAGATCGAATGCAACAAGAAGCGTCCACGCCGGGCCAGGGGAAGCTTCGGGAGCTACGCAGGGTGGGAGAGACCAGGCCAGACCCTCTGCGTGGAAGGCAGGACCGGACGGTGCGCCGGCGCGACAGGGGCTTCAGAGGGAGACCGAAAATGCTTTCATGTTTGGGGGACGCGGGAGTCGGAGCCGCTCCTTCTCAGCCCTCCGTCCCAAGTCTGTGGGAAGAGCTGGTGCTCCCTCCCCGGCCCGCCCATTCCTCTCGAAAACAAAACAAACAACAACAAAGCAGCGATTCCCGCACCCCCACCCCCCCCGTGGGACGGAGCAGGGCGCACGGGAGACGGGGGCCAAGACGAAAGGGTTAAAAATGTTATTACCAATAATAATTTTTTTTCAAGTGGCGCTGGGTGTCGAGGGAAGGGAAGGGCTGTGGAGCGAGGCTGGAGCAGGAGGGCTGCGAATTACGCAGTTAGGCGAGTTTAATGACCTTTTTGACAGAGACAAAGCGGTACCGATACAGTAGATAAATAAACGGATCTGTCACTGGGCAGCGGCTAGGCTGTGTGTGAATTTATTTTTCTCATTTAAATAATTTGATCTATTCCATCATTTCCAATCTCTCCCATTTGCCAGCTGTCTGGTAAGAAGAGCGTGGCCCCCAAAAATCTGAAGAGCAAATCTTTTAATTTTCTTACAAATACACCATCTCAGGCGGTACACCCGCCTGTTCGTTTTGCCATCTTTTCTTTCCCTCTCTGGGTGCAGAGGACCGTGGCACTGTGTAGAGATGTGAGTATCTTAGCGTGGCCCATTGTACCCGTTGGGAGTGGGAAGAGAGACTCCCTGGGTTGTCCCCAAGAAAAGTAAGGGATGGGAGCTCAGCTCCCACACATCCTCGGGGATCCATTGGTAAATGGAGATTATCCAGTGTCTGCCTCCTTGGCCCTTGTTTCCCAAGCAGCTATTGGAAAGTGCTGCCTGAGGACCTCGAAGGAAGGACATTTCAGAAACAGAGAAGATAGAGTAACACCCCCCCCCCCCCACACACACACACAGGGTTTATGCAGGAGAGGGGAGCCAAGGGCCCTTACATTACAGCTAGCGAACCTCATCCTTGGAGCGGAGCATTACAGCCCCTATTGTCTGCCTGTCATCTTACAAAGCTGGTTTGATTACCCCCAGGGAACCAAAAAGGCCTAGATGTCCCCTATCCCCTGAGCCAAACACAAAAAAAAGGAAGAAACTTGAACCCTGGTTAGGGATGCAGGCTACCAGGACCCGTGGCTGACTAGGAGATGGACCAGGAAGGGAAAATTTGGGGACAAATTCTGTCTGGACAGCTTCTCAGGGAGTCCCCTTTATGTGAGAGAGGCAGAATGCAGGGTACAAAAGAAAGTAGCAGAAAGGTAGAGGTATGACCTAAGGGCAGAGCAATTCTGTGGCCAGTCAGAGGCAGGACTAAGGTGGAGGGGGGGCGGGGAGAAGGTGGTGAGAGTCGAAGGAGGAGCTAGCTCCTAAAAAAGCTAGCAGGAGTGGCACTAGAGAAGTGGATGGATTAAGACACACCAGAGGCTCCTCCAAAGACGAGACCATGGCCCCTCATCAAGCCCTTGAAAGCAGTTCAGCCCAAGCCTGGCCATCTCTGGCTGCAACCCAGAGTGGGCGGGGGTCCCCAGTACTGCAGATAGAGGTTTTTTGCTGCTGCTACTAGGTGAAAAACAGCTTCCCAGCTGCGGAGGCTGTGGGATTTAGCTATGGAGTTTGGTTGACTAGCTGGAACCCTGGGGTCAGACAGAAGCTGCTGTCCCCATCCCAGGACTAGGCCTTGTTTTGGACCCAGCTGTCAGTCATTTGTAAAATTGGCTTCTCCAAACTGAAAATAGCTGCTCCCTCCCAGTCTGGGGAGGGTGAGATGTATGGAACAATCAACACAACAGCAATGATAATCATGGCTACTTACATTCATTACATGCATTCTATGTTCCACACAAGGAACATACATATGCATGTCAGTTCATTCACAACCCACCCTGATAGGATCTTGGTTATTTTTTTCATCTTATTGATAAAGAATGTCAGCTCAAAGGAATTAAAAAGTCTGAAGGCAACAACCAGTATATGATCTTTCCTTTCTCCCTCCCTCCCTCCTTCCAATTTTCTTTTCTCACCCTCTACCCTTTTTTCTTTCCTCCCTTTCTTCTTCTTTCTTCCCTTTCTTTCCCTTCTTTCCTTTCTTCTTGCCTACCTGACTCACTTCTTCCATCCCTCTGTCTCTTCTTTCTCTTCTTCCTTTATGCCTCCCTCTCTCCTTCCCTCCCTCTCTCCTTCTCTTCCTCCCTCCCTCCCTTCCTTCCTTCCTTCCTACCTTCCTTCCATCCTTCCCTGCTTGCCTGCCGCCTTCCTCAGATACCTACTAGACATTCCTTTTTGCCAGGCTCTGGACAAGGAGCCCCAGGGTCACAGAAAGGTCCAGAGAATTGTTACTCCATGTCTGACACTGCCTGAGCTGAACAGGTCAAGCTCCAGGGAAGACCCTTGTAGTCTCTAGGGGTTGGAGGGTTGAAACCTCTGGCTGCCCGAGGGAAGGCTGAGAGTAGAATAGGATGAGGACCCTGTACTGGAGCAAGTTGGAGAGCTCAATCTCCCCTAATTTGTGAGTAGAACCCTGCAGCCCTCTCTCCAGTCCTCGTGCGCCTCTCCAGGCTGCTGTGCTGCCAGCAGGCACCAGAGCTGGCAAGATGTCAAGCCGCATCTCTGGGGATTGGGAGCCGCCAATCCTGGCTTTTTGCATTGTTGGTAAACAAGTCTCCCCATCAGCCAGGCCTAGGCTCCCCCGTGAGGCAGCCAGCGCTAGATTTATGAGGCCTCCAAACCTCATTCAGGCTAATGCAGCTTTTCATTCCCAAATAAAAGGGGCTGCTGTCTGAAAGGACAAGTGCTCCTGCATTTCATTAACATCCCCTAAAACGGCTGAGCTGGCCCAAGTCCCTGCCAGCTAGATTCATGCCTCCCAGTGGCTCACAGGTGGGGGTAAGGGTAGGAGGCTGAAGACAGAACCAGACTGTCAGCCCGGCCCCGCCCTCTCTAGGCCCCTCCCCAGCTTCTGCAGGCAAAGGAGGGAGGGACCCACTGGGGGTGGCCAAGCAGGCTCATTTGGATGAGTCCCCTGTGTGTGTATTTTGTTTAGACTGATCCACACTGCTCTCAATCCCCCCCCACAATCACGGTGAGTGATGAGGCCCTGGGCTCGAGTTACTGAGATTCACGATCTCCACTTCCCTGGGAAACCACTGAGCAGAGCAAGTGGCTGCTGATTCCTAGGACTTGAGTGCCCTCTGCCGAAGCCTGCCTACTTTCCATTCCTTCCAGCTGCCCGGCTGACTGGGCAAGATGGACATTGAAGCCCCCTGGCTCCGGTCACTCTCTCAGTGTCCTACCGACAGCTCTTTTACTTGTGCTACAACCAAGTCTTCCTGAGAATGGGGGAGGGGCGCCTCTCCCCCTTTCACCAGGAGGGCATCTCTGCTAGAAAGAGGCTGCTATCAGGAATTGGCTGATCTTGCCAACTGCCTGAGCAGGGAGGAGGGGGGAGGAGGAGGAGGAGAATGAGGAAGGGCAGAGACCTTCCCAGGATACCTCTATTTCTCAGCTGATCTCAATGATCAAGTGCACAGTCATCACAAAAGTCAAGCATCAGCCAGCCTATTGCAGGACACTAGGACCTTAGCTCAATGAGGATCTTTTCTTTAGCCTGGGGTCTTAGTCCCTTATCCCTACCCCAAGAACAGAAAGAGCAGCATAGCCAGGCAAGCCATCTAAGAAGCAGCAAGCCCAGCAAAAGTGGCATCAACTTAGATTTTTGTCAACAGTCAAGCAAGCAAGTTCATTCCCACTGAAGTCAATTCCTGTGTTTATTGTCAGCTTAACCCACTGCTGTGAGTTCTTTCTTAGCAGTGAGGGAGACAGGTAGACAAGCCACCAGAGA